AAGTTGACTGAATAGACATTAATATCACACTGCTTTTTCTTTATGTTCTTAAATGTTTGAGAAGTAATTTCTAGTGCACTAAAAATTAATTTTTTCCTATTTTTCCTCCTTTGATTTTTATATGAGCTGGAGTGTGATTTCTTTTTAAATATGGCTTATCATTTACTTTGTTTTATTTAAAGTTGAATAAGATATTTTATGACAATTTTTTTCTTAAAGGAAAGGTCTTATGAAACCGTACGGTTTCACTTTTCATGCCAATGATTGCATTCCAGCATTTGTTCACAATGTTTACATTTAAGCACATATAGTTGCTTATGAATATGATGGATTAACACATTAGTGTATTTACTTCTACAGTTTTATGCATATAAAAATACTATAATATCGCATATAATACATTAACCTAATTTCACAACATAAATGTTTCCCATTTTTAACAGGTTAAACATCAACTTTGATAGCTATCTAATTTTTCATTTATTTAGTCATACCATCATTACTGAATTCTTCTTGTTTTGGACATTTATATTGTTTTATTTTCTCCCTGTTTTAAATAAGAAGGGGATGAATACATATGCATAAAACACTTTCTGTATTTCAAATGATCTCTTCAGGATAAATCCCTATGAATACAAGTACTGAATTAAAGGTTGTAAATATTTTTAAAGATTTTGATTTATGTTATCAACTTATTTACTGACAGACTTGCTGAATTTTAATTCTAATATGCAGTTCATTCCATCCTTATCCCATGTATTCTTTCTTTTTCTCATAAATGGCAGTGGTTTCCTTACCAGGAAATTGGTACTGCCTTCTGAAATAACAGTGATAACCCAAAATTCCATAAAGAAAATAGTTATATAAGGTATCAATTCATAGGATAATACCATTTTGCAAATCTCTGGTCAAGTATGATTGGGGGAAATTGAAGTAAAGCATGGCAAAAGCTCCAATCATTGACACATACCCTGATCTTTCTTTGAGCAAATGATACAGACCATTGTGAACTTGCTGATTTAAACAATTCTTTATAAAGGAGTGCTATTGACTTAAAGACTATAACAAGAAACCTTGGTACCATTGTGCTTAATTGCATATCCACATGTTCAAAAGCTGTGTTTTGTTTACTCTAATGGATCTAAGTCTACCATGTAAATAGGGCTCAGAACTTATGAAATGCTTGTTTTATTTTTTAACTTGTAGGATATTTAAAGTAAATTCATGCCTAGATATTGAGATAAGCTTTGAGATTTGTCTTGCACTGAATAGAACCCACCTTCATAAATTAATATATGCAAAAACATTTCCTCAGAATTCAGTTCTTAAACAAACAGACAGCAACATAGTTTCATTCAAAATGTATGTTAAAAGCCTTTATTTGGCTGTTACAGGTTGTAACAGAATGAATAGCACATATTAAACATTGAAGTATGTTAGTAAGAAGTTTACTTAAAAATTGTTTCCTAAGTGAATTAATTAAAAAGAAAATAAGCCACTAATCAATAAACTTCTCTCATAAAATATTACCATCTTAAAACATCTTTCATATATGATGGATATCCATCTAATTATTATAGCTAACTTTTAAGAGCTGCTTATTATACATCATGCACTGTCTTTGGGGCTTTAGATATCTTATGTCACTAAATCCTAACAGCCACCTTATTGAAACCAATTATATTATCCTGATTCTACAAATGGGAAAACAGATTTTCACAGACAGTAAGTCCTCAAGATAGTCTAACATTCAGATTCCTTGCTAAACTCATGCTTCTCCCCAGAAATCAGGCTAGCTCCCAGTGTAACACAGATTCACAAAGAAACCAGTTAGGTAGTGTTGTTTATGACAGAGTTACTCAGAAAAGGCACTTATTGGCTGACTCATTAGCAACCTTAAAAATGCATCTATTCTTTCAGTTCCCAACAGTCTCATTTTTATAAGAATGTATGAAGTTTTAAGAAAAGGATAAAGAGAGAAATTCAAAACTCTATATTTTGCATATCTTCTCTTAGTAAACACAGAGTTCTTTTCCCTTTTTTCTCTTTCTTCCCCACACTCCGTGTAAATAGTATTATAGTAAAAGAGAAATCAATACTTTTTGCTGGTACTTATACAACTAGAAATTTGAAACATGTTTTCCTTTTACTCTCAAAAGTAAAGAAAGCCAGATTAGATACATTTCACTCCTTTCAAAACCTAATACTGGGTTCAAAGGTAGTTTTTCCCTCTTGAGGAAACTGTTGTGAGACCCTGCTATTCAGCATTAGAAAAATAGTTAAAGGCTTTCATAAAATAAAAATTTGCAAAAGAGAAGTTCATAAATGTCCATTTTGCAACCAAATTGGTTAATTAAAGGCAAAAGATGTATTTTAATGTGTTACATCCTACTATATTTTATTGATTAAACATAAGTAAGATATATAAATCAATTCCTCATATATCCTTAAATCCCTATTTCTTTAGGAGGAATTGCTATAGGAGCTAAAACAATCATTTTTGCTCATTTTTGTTATAAAATATGATGAAACTGACTTTGAAAGATGTTACACATTTCTGCCTTTTTGTCTTCTATCTTTTGGCATGGCAGAGTCTGTCTTCTGAAGCTTTTATTAGAAGTGTTCCAATTAAAAAACTGTGTGAGTTAAAAATGGCTTCCATTCACAACAAGGATTCTAAATAAGAGGTAAGTTTGGTAAATCAGTTCCTCCCTGGCTTCTTGCCATTCACATCTTTTGGTTTTGAAATTCATTTCTTTGTGAGCATAAGGTGGTTGTTATGAGGTGTTTTCAAGCCTCTGACAGGGTTATTGTGCATGGTAGAAGGTGGTAGTTTTTGATCAATGTCTTCAAAGTCAAAGCTTGGAAAAATAATAGCTGCACATCAAAACCCAGTGCCATAATGCAGTTAACACTGGACTCTTTCAGGTGGCCCCAGGGAATGACTTAATTCTCATGTTAAGCTTTACCATAATTAGTCATTTATAACTGTGTAGTAAGGTTTATGTGAAGACATATAACTTGAAATTCATTATCAAATGATGTTCAGAAAAAATCATTACCAGAAGAAAAATAAAAATCCTATCATTTATTGATGTCTCTCTTCTCCATTTTTTCTGAATCTCTAATTGATTGCATTTCTCTCTTAAGAAGTCTTTTATTGGCATCTTTAAGACATCTCTTATTTTCATAAGAATACTCATGTTTAATTTTTTAGGCCATTTATGCAATTATTTCCTGCCTAATAGATAAAGTTACTGACCTTAAACCTTTCTGATGTACTTTTTTAATATTTTTACTACTTTACCAAAAAGTCTTAAATATTTACAATTGTGTTAGAATTAGGGTGCTTTTATGTTATCGTTTTGAGTTACTCTAGAACATGAAGTTATTGGTAGTATTTCAGAAAATAAAGCTTTTCATATATGCATTAAAAGAGCACAATTGGCATATTGTATTTGTCTGCATGTATATAACATAATTTATTAAAGAAACTATAAAATCGTAAGTGTAAAATACACAATAAAAAGTCAAATAATTCATACTTAAAAGTTACATGTACCATACATTTCTTTGATATTGAGGCACAATGGGGTGCAATAAGAAATTCATTAAGTCAATGAGAATAGCAGCTGAACTCTATCAGAATGTCTATTTACTCCACTTTTGAAATAGAAAAAACAGAAAAATAGTGGACACACTCCATTTCCACTCAGGTTTGAACTGATCATGTTAGCATGGGATCAGTGCAATGCAAAATGCGAATGCATCTTCTCATTATCTAATTTGACAAACTCAAGTTTAATAGCCTTTGTTTATTTTTCCCTGTAAATGCAAAGATATCTATCTCCTCTAACTTTAAAATTTTTTCTCATTAAAACATTAAAGCTTTGCCAAAGTACCTAAATAGTCCAGTAGAGCATGCCACAGACAAATTGAACCTCATAAATGACTTGAGCAATAAAAAAAGTCTAAATATGTCTGGTTTTATTTTATGGGCTTAAGAGTAAAATTTATGTCATAATAAATATCACTCCACTAAAGCTTTGTATGAATTGGAGGAAGGCATTGATTTTTTATTCTGTAAAATGTAGTTATAGATACTTTTTTTTAATGTTAGGAATTTTAAGAATCTAATGAAAGCCACGAAAAATCAGAAGATATGCACATATAAATAAAATTTTACATGGAATTTTAAGCCTACTTTGAAATTGAGAGCCATAAAATAAAGGACTCCTGAAGTCCCTTCCTGATTTAAATTTCTAAGATTCTATCAATATAAAACCTCCTAACTCATGAAGCACATGTGCAAAACTGAGACCAAGTCTTTGAGGCCTACTATGGATGGAATTCAACACAGCATAGTATATTAGAGTTTAAAGTGTCCTTAGTATTGGTGAGTTTTCTCTGTTGCTAGATTACAATCAATAATATTCACATTTGTATTTTAATGAAAAAACCAATTGTCTGAAACAAAATGAGAAAATAAGCCTGAAAAAAAGTAACACCTATCCATTTTGATTCAATAAAAATAATTCATATTCTTGAATTCATTGTCTTCTTATATCATCATCAAAATTCTCATTGAGTTGAAAAATGTTTAACAACTAAGGAGACAAAACAAGTGGGTTTTCCCCAGTTGGTGATCACCACACTGCAAATGTTGAACTCCTCAGAGATTATTCAAGTTTCCAGGCATCAATAATGAATCCAAAAGCACAAAGCTTCGATTCTAATGGCAAAATCCGCATTTCAAATGGCTACAACCATTTGAAATCTTAAAATCAGTAGAGGGACATGCTCTAGTTTCAAATTCCAGGCTTCTCAGGGATTCTTTCTTAGTGTTTTCTGTATCTATAGAATTTAAAATAATCAGTTGAATGGTATGAACTTTTAGACACTAATTATTACTAAATTATTTGAGCTTGTGTATTTTTAAAAATATGGCCAATATCATTGTACCTGGGCGCAGTTTCTGCCTTGTTTAAATGCCCACTCACCTCTTCAACAAAATGAAAAGTCTATCAGGCTTCACACACTGGGCAGATGGAGAGATATGTCTTCATGTCAATAATATCTAAGATTTGGCGGTTCTCAACAGAGGTATGGACATTTGAAATTTGATTTAGGGTGAAAAGCAAGAGGAGAGATTCTGATGGGGAAAAAAAAACAGGTAGTCTCTCTTTACTATCTCTTTAGCCTGTTGCTTTTGACTGATTCCTTGCCATAAGCCCCCAACATGCTGTCTTGTATCTTGCAAAGTCCTCCTTCAATGTTAATATATCATTCCTTCTTACCTCTCTTCTTCATACCCAAATCTCAGAAAGAGTTGTCTGCATACTCTGTCTCCACTTCCTCATCTGATATTAACTCCCCACTCGTATCAAATAGTTCCCTAATCCCTCTGTTCACCAGTACACATTTGGTAAGGTCACCAATAACTACCATGCTGTTGGACCAAAAGACATGTTTAAGTCTTTATCTTGCTTGTGTTGAATATTCTCAGGAGAATATTCGACACGATTGAGTTCAGAGTACTTAGAATTTTCTCTTGACTTCCGTGACATCATAATATCCTGGTTTTTTCCTCCTACTTCTCTATTTCTTAATCTTATTTGCTCAATCCTTTTCTTTTCCTTTTTCATAAACCTGTCATAGTTCCTTTCTGTGGTTATGATTATTTAATGTCTGCCTCATCCCATAAGAATGGGAAACAGGACTGTTTTGTCTCCCACTGTGTTCTCAGTGCCTTGATCACCTAATAGATAACCACTAAACATGAGTTAGTGAAATAAATGGAAAAGGCCTGGAAAAAATCAAGATGTGACAGTTCTCATGGGCATCTGGGGTCATTTTGGGGGACTATGGAAAAGCAGTTCATTTCACTGCAGAGTGGTTTTAGTGTGTGTGATCTTAGAAAATAACACCTTAAATTTACTAATTATGTAGACTCTATTAATATAAAAGGATATGCATGGAAAATTTTAAAAACATAACATTATTACTGCTCTGAATTATTAATTCTATAGAAACATATTTATTTAGCATTCTATTTGTGGTCAATTCAGACCCCCTGGGAAACAGACATCAAGACAGATTTAAGAGGGAAAGACATTCATTGGGGTAACACCTGTGAAGAATAAAGGGAAGTGGCAACAACAGTAGGTAGAAAAACATCAGACCTTCTACCCGATGCAGGTCTGACACCTGCAAACAGAGAAAGGGGAGGAGGACTGGGTAGAAAGAGCCTTTGACTGTAGTATAGCTCTGAGAAATTCTCAACCAAGCCAGTAGGGATCCTGGAGACTGCCTCTCCAAGGAATCCTGCTTTGAGCAGAAATGGCCTGACTCTGGTCATTTGCTGAGAAGCCTGGGGAGAGTGTGAAGTCAGTGTGACTCTTGTGCTGGAGCCTTCCCTGCAGCAGGTTATCTCTTAAAGGGAGAACTGAGTAACACATTCTTATTGCTTTCTCAGTCTGAAGATTTCTGTAAGTCACATTTAAATATGTGAAATGGGATAGCTTGTAATATTAGTCCATGGACAAGAAGTACATTCTTAGAATTGACCTCATAACTATCTGTCAAAATAATTTCTAAGCTTTTTTTCAAAAATCACAAATATACATATATGATATATATATTTTATATATATATATATATAATAGCTCTTTTTATGGCAACGTAGGGTTTTTTCTAAATTCTAAGAGTTCATTCAAAGATTTGTGGAGCATCAGTGTGTCAAAAATTGGACTAAACGTGGGGATATAGGTAGAATCTCTGCCCTCTTGACTAGTTCTTTCTCAAAGAATTCTTGTACTCCATATTGAAATAGTAAAATTCCTGTTCTATGAACTTGGCAATGAGTGTTTTAGACACTTTTATGTTTTAGTCAGTACGTCTGTTATTGTCTTTCTCAAACTACTATTTTGTTTTATGTTTAATATTGCTATTTAACTCTTCATTCTGCGTCTTCTCTTTGCTAAGAGCAAGATGGCTGTGTTAATTTTTATATAAATTTATCATTTATTTGTTTAAACAACAAACATTTATGAAATGTCTACTATATGCCAAAAACCATGCTTAGAGATATTTAGTTACAGGATCTTATTTAATCCCAGTATCATTCCTATGAGATAGTTACCATGCCTGCTATTTTGAAGTGACAAAACAGATACAAAAAGTTGACATATGAATCTAGATTTGCTTCATGTCAAAACTCATTTCTTTCTATTGGACCTGCATATTTGTTTAATTTTACTATGGAAGAAGGGCAACTTGAAATTGTTTATGTATCATCAAATATGAAATCAAATATGCTAGAAGGCACACTTTAGTTAAAGCCAAGGAGAAATTCTAGGACTAGAAAGGTATTCCTACTTCAAGTATCTTGGTCCTTTACCATTTGGTCCCAAATATCAAAAGAATATTTATTAAACAAAAGTATCCTGAACAAGGGTGTTCAGAGCTCACAGAAATTTCAACCAAGTGTGATGAATACTATGATAACAGAATTATGATGTCTACCTGAATCTTTTGCTTTAGAACAATGAAATTCAATCCTTGTAAAATTCTATGAGAATAATATTAACACCAAAATAAAACTAATAGCAGCAGTCTCTTTCAACTATTACCATGTTGCAGATTTACTTAGAATGGTTTCAATTTAAATTCTAATTTTATACTCCATTAGTTTCAAAATGACTTATATTTAACTAGTCTGGACTGGTTAAAATGAAATCTGGCTGCCAAAATATCACCCTATATTTATATATCTGCCTTTTTATATCTATTAAATTTTTTTCTACATCTATTAATATAATAATTTATATTATTTTATTTTAATTAAAAACTGGTATATGATTTCTAAAAGGCTGAAGATAACATCCTCTTGCCCACTTTGCTTCTGAGTTCTTATAACCTCCTCAGAGTAACCTTAACATTTGTACCCCCATAATATTCTGAAAAAATAAATAACTACTTTGGTCTATGATCTCTGAAAATGCACAGTAGATATACAGAACAGAGGGCAGTATCAATTAAAAAACAAAAACACAGTAACTAATCCTTTAGTGATTAAAAATAATAAATAGAGGCAGAATAGCTAGATTAATTGGGGTTAATAAATGTAGAATAATATTAATAGCTATCTCTCAAGGTGCACAGGCCATTGATACTATAATTTTAGAGAAATAACTTTTAACTTTTGCCACTTGTTTTCAGTGGCCATTGTAATTCTTCATTCTAATAACCATGATAAAAGGTAAGAATTATAAAGAATCTTCTCGCAATCTCTCTCTGTAAACTTAAGCTTCTGAAGATAATCCCTTTTCCTCTGAAAGGTCAATGACAACTGTGGCTATTTTAGCAAATGGAGAAAAAAGTGTTCAGATTAGAAGCAAGATTTTCAATTGGCAATAACATAAGTCATAAAGATCAAGTTCAAACCTGAATATCATCCAAAAATAGTATAAATTTAGCAAGTCTCTAAACTCCTCTCAACCTATTTCCCTCCCATGTAAAAATAAGTAGTGTATATGGGAATTAAATAAGATAATATATGTCAAAATACCTGGAGAAAGGCCTGGCATATTTAAACATCCAGAAAATATGAGTTGGCTTAATTATGTCAGCAATACTAGTTACGCTGTTCCTTCTGCAAAACTTTTCAAAACACTGGCATTTTTTGCCATATTCTTTAAGATGATAAAAGTTTGGAGAAACTAGAAACATCAGTATCACAGAAGAGCATTACATGTTAACAAATAAAAAGTACTTTCAGAGGCTTCCAGTTTCCAGTCTCACGTGTATGGAGCTTGGAAGTCATCGCTCTATCTTAACAAGTTAAAGAGCTAAACAAACTGAGAAATCGACAGCGCCTTAGATCCATTGGAGAGGTGAAGTCACAGAGCACACTGCTGCTCCTCAAATTGGAGAGACATCCTGATACAGAGAATTACACTTACTAGAGAAGAAACTCTAGAGTACAAACTTCCTTAGGAATCAGTGAGAGGATAGAAAAACCAGAACTCTAGTTTATGAATTGCTGGAGGCTCAATGTGCACAAGTCTGAGAGTTAAATACTCTAGAAGGGCACGTTCTGTGTGTTTCACCTCTAAAATCTCTACCAAGTTCTCACAAGGCATAGTTGAGAAAAATCCTCTCTTGCTTTTGGCAGAGGGCTGTGGAGGATAGCCATTTTGAAACACAATAGAGCATTCTGTTCTCATTAACAAAGTCTTCCCTCAAGAAAATCTATTTTACCAGAGCCTAACCTGCTGAAGTTTTATCAAAGCCTAAATAACCTGGAGGAAGAGGAATATGCAACTCCAACCCCTCTAGCCATCTTATTCTACCTGAGAGGGGATGGGAAGAAGGATAAGAAGCACTGGTGAAGTTCACCACCCAGGTACACAGGCTCACCAAAAGACTGAGACCTAAAAAAAGGACCATAGAACACTTCTTCTTTCCCCACTCCTTAATACCACATTAATAAAGCCTATTTATTAAAGTTCCTTTTACCCAGTATATCATATCTAACTTTAAACAATAAATCACAATACATACTACAAGGCAAAAAACACAGTTTGAAGAACTAGAACAAACACTAGAACCAGATACAGACAGATATGGCAAGAATGTTGGAATTATAAGACTGGAAATATAAAACAATTCTAGTGAATATTCTCAGGGCTCAAATGGAAAAAATAGGCAACATGCAAAAAATGGATGTAGGAGAGATGAAAATTCCAAGAAAGAATAAAAAAGAAATACTAGACATCACACTGTAACAGAAATAACGAATGTCTTTGATGGACTCATTAGTAGGCTGGACATGGCTGAGAAAAGAATCTCTGAGCTTCAGGTGATGACAATTTAAACTTCCAAAACTGAAAAGCAAAAAGAAAAAGACAAAACAAAATTTTTAAAAATAGAACAGAAAATCCAGAATATCTAATAACCCTGGGACAACTACAAAGGTGTAACATACAGACAATGGGAATAGCAGAAAGAGAAGAAAGAGAAAAGAAGCAGAAAAAAATATTTGAAGCAATAATGACTGAGAATTCACCCAATTAATATTAAATTACAAACCATAAATCCAGAAAGCACAAAGAACACCAAGCAGAAAAAATTCCCCAAAAAACAAACAACAAACTACACCTAGTTGTATCATTTTAAAACTGCATAAAATTAGAAATAGAGCCAAAATGACCAACCAGAGACATAGCTTGTTGGAATATCCTGACAGAAAAGTTGAGGGTTGGACTGAAGAGAGCAGAGAGTGATTGCTGCTTGGAAGTGGACCGCAGGGACAGACACCAGTGGAGTCCAGGGACACCCCCAGGAGGAACTGTGCAGCTGAGAGAGAAGAGTATAGAAAAGAGAAATCTGTAGTGTAAACGAATTCCAGGGAGTTCTGGAACCCAGGGGAGGGGAAGTGGTTTTTCCTCTCCCCACCTGGGTGCCTCAGGGTGCCTCAAGCCAGCAAGGGAGCACAGGGCTC